GTTTTCTTTGTACACACATTTGTTTAACAGTGAAAACATTTCGTTTTGTGTGCACCGCAATGAAATGCGTAGCAGTTTCAACAACGACAACGACAACGACAACGAAGGTCTGTACCAACCTCGCGTCAGCTTAAGAAGATCAGTTTATAAGATCTCATAAATAAACATTATAGCGTAGTTAGATTTGTCAATTTGTCATTAATCATCAAAGATATGTGAGCCTTTGTTTCCGAAAATTAAGTTTTTCATTTATACTTTGTGTTTTCCATGGCTTCACAACATTGTTTTAGTATTACTGAAGTTTTGAAAAAGGTTTTAAAAAATCGTAGGGCAAGTTGGTAAATATGTCATGGCATGTGGTATGCGTAAAAGAATTCAAAACTTTAATTTTTATGATTCTTCAGTATTTGGAAAGAAAGGAGGGGGTGGGGGAAGAGGTGATGAGGTAATTTCTCGCCCCTTCGGTATGAATAAGCTATTTGCGGCCATTTGTTTTAAACCGAACGTCCACGCAAACGTTTTACGAATTTTGAAATGGGTGTTATAATTGGATAAAAGTCTTAATTCAAATTTCGTGATTTAGGGTTGAGGAAGACTTTATTGACGGATGGTAATTGTTTTCTTGCCAAGTGTGTTACAATTAAGTTTGCCAATTTTGTTATCGCTCTAGCACAGTGACAATGTTTAGTTACTCCGCATCCTGGATTAATCCATTAGCTCTTTATTTTTAATTCGCATACAGTGTTTATAAAATCAATCATTTTAATCACAACGATGCTGAGATATTCGTAAAACATGGACCGCTGACCAGATCGAACCACCATTTCCCTTACCGGTGGCTCGCGCTCTACACACTGCGCCACGAAGGCCCTTGCTCTGTGTTTGTCTCAGCTAGTTTTGCACTAAACGCTGCCATCAGCAGTCACTTGTCGGCGGGATTGATCTGAGCAGCACAAATCGGCATTGAACCCAGTTAAGCTGAGACAGTAGTCGAAATCACAATGTTAACCTTTTATTTTCTGCCTACTATATGTTTTTAAGATGGAGTATGATGTGAGTTATAACCACAACGGATGGGTGATTGATGATGGCGGTGTTAGGTAAAAAATAGCCGAGAGAAACGCAGAGCTAGGGCTTCCCTGGTGCAATGTGTAATGCGCGAGCCTCCGTAAATGTCAATCGTAGTTCGATCTAGCCAGCGGTCCATGTTTTACGAATTTCTCAGCGTCGTTGTGATTGTAATTCACATCATACTATGCCGTGAAAAATTATAGTAGGCAGAAAATAAAAGGTTAACATAGTAATCATTTTGTAAGCTTCTTTCGTTGTTTTGCTGTGGTATAGGTATCATTGTGAAGTTTGTGAAGACTGACTGATTGCTTACTACGAGGTCGTGTTTTGCCTCTCTGTGTCCATTCTTTACAAGGACTGTTACAAATAAAGCGCATAGATTATTTTTTACTTCAAGAAAACGTCAAGTAAACATCTGAACGGTTTAGACAATTAGTGGTATCTACTGTTCATATTTAAATAACGTGGTTATTTTGAAGGGTGATTTCATTAGTAGATAATAAATAATCTGCTAGTAAATAAGTTCTTCTATGTAACCTGCTTTGTTCAGTGTTACAAAGACTAAATATTCCGTCTAAAAATAGTTGATTGAATCAACCATAATAGTGTTGAGATAGGACCGCAGGTGTCTGCGGTGGGGTCGATCACGTTTTTACCCTTTTCGAGGCTAACGCGTCCACTACCACACCGTGCGTGTCATTCGTTCTTCTTTCTCTGAGCTAGTTTTTTGGCAATTGATTGGATTGTATACCTATGATTCCATCTCATTAAAGTCTGACTTTCTTCCACTTATATCATGTATGCTTTTTATTAGCAGTTCACAGCTTTTATTTTTCAGCTTGTCTATGAGTTATTTCTCCGTTTTCTGGAATCGCCAGATTTTCAAGCCTCAATTGGAAAAAAGTACATAGACCAACGTTTTGTGTTAAACGTGAGTTTCTTCGAAAATGATGGATGGAACGCTCTTTGTTTTAGTCCACATTTCACGTAAATAACAGAAGGTTTTAAATTGTTGGAACTTTTTTTCCAGCTGCTAGACTTGTTTGATTCGGAGGATCCTCGTGAGCGTGATTTTCTGAAGACTGTTCTGCATCGTATTTATGGGAAATTTTTGGGTCTTCGCGCATTCATTCGGAAACAAATCAACAATATGTTCTTATCGTAAGGGATATTTTTGATAATCGTTTTGAATTTCGTGTTTAGCGTATCATTGACCTCTTTTCTTCAATAATTATTTCATTTGCTCTGTTTTAGATTCGTATATGAAACTGACTCCTTCAATGGGGTGGGCGAGCTGCTTGAGATTCTGGGAAGGTGAGAGTATAGGATTTCAAGTAGTTTGTGCTTTAATAAAATTGTATCTGTTGAAATATTTGTGCTTTTCCCCACTGTTTTCCTATGCTACCGTTGAAACTTTGTGGAATTAAATTTCTCTATCAATTTTCGACTTTCCACTGGATCCTTTTTTCCCTCGGACGTTACATAGCAGGTTGACGTCTTTCATTGGGTGTTAGGTCTAACCAGTTGACCTGGGAAGTGAGCGGAATTGATTTCTTTTATGGTGAACCGTAATGCTAAATATTGAACACTTCGCGTTTTTATCTATAGGGACGAATTTTTAGTCCATCGTAACATTACGGTATCCCATATGTTTTTTATTCGATATTTAGTGCTTAGAGACAAGTAAATATAACTAAATGAAGTTTCAGTATCATCAATGGATTTGCTTTACCGTTGAAACAGGAACACAAGGTTTTCCTGGTAAAGGTTCTGCTTCCGCTCCACAAACCAAAATGCTTATCACTGTACCATGCGCAGGTCTTTTAAATCTCATTATTTGTTTGTTTGTTTATAATGCAATCGTAATACGTGTGCTATCGGTTTCATGGATGTGGATTCTCCTTTCCACTGATTTATGATGTCCAAGTGTTCAGTGGATGGTTTTAAAGATCCACTGAATCCTACAAATTATCAGAAAAATAGGGGATAATGGCATTGAGGTTTAGAAAATTGTTCTTAGCAACTTTGAAATGCTCTTTGACTTATTTTTACTGTGTACATTGATTTTAAAGTGTGTTTGTTAGTGTATTTTGGACAGTACGCATCGATTTTAGAACAGCTTTTTTGCGATTGTTGCTTTCATTTCAAAAACCTTTTTTAAATAGCTTTTATATCATCAGTGGCTTGTCTAGCACAGGTGTACCCCGCTTGGAGAAAAGCTGATTTCGAAACATTACAATTTGAAGACACAGTTATTAGGACAAGTTTAATTGTCTATGAGTCTCATGGTGACTTAATGCCCACTGTACTAATTTCTTAAAACGAAAAATTTTTGCTGATGAGAAAAGCATTAGGACCTTCTTGCTATGGACAATAAGTTACATGAATACGGCATGGGGAAACTAAAGGTATTCTCATGCGTTGAAACTGGATAACTAAGTAACATAACCCTGTTTTTGTGGTGAACTCGTCGGGCTAATCAATAGTCACTTGGGCTGTTTATTGAAATCGACGCACACTGTCCGTCCGTTGCGCTTTCTCTCACCTCTCCTCCTCCAGAAGCGCCCATCATACTTTTTGCATTTTTGGCTTAATATTTAGAGTTTCTTTAAACATATTTTCTCTGCGATTCGAGTACTTTCTTGTACTCTACGCGCTCTATGTATTTACTTTGAATGCTCTCGTATTTCTGGAACATTTCTATTTCTCGTAATGCCTTTGAAAAATACTTGTTAGCCTGCAACCGTAACGTGTGGGCTCTTGATGTTCTTTTCCATAATATATTTTAAAGGGAACCTCGGCTGTTTATTTAATTCCTCTTTCCATCGATATTTAAGCACAGCGGTTTTGGAAACCTCTAATTTTCCAAAAAAAATAAGTTTGGAAGCATCTGATGATAGCGCACTTTGTGTTATCGTAGTGCCAGCCTCAACATCTCTGATCTTTGATAGGAGATATCGTAATATGCTCCTCGTGGGCAATAATTTCTCGCCTGACCTACAAACATGTCCAGGAGTTTTACAAAGCTCTGAGTGTGAGATGTAACTCTTGTTGGACCACGGTTAATACACCATTGATGGGAAGCTACTAAATGAATAAAAATGAGTGGAGAAAAGCTCTGTGAGTCAAAGTAAACAACGGGAAAAGTGCAGTGAAACTAACACGTCCTGTCAAATCTGTATAATGTGTGCATTTATTTCAGCACCTACAATCACAAATTGGTCAAGAGATATATTTTCCTTCTTTGGGGTTCATACTGCTATGATGCAGTTCCTGTTTCCTAGTAGTTACTTTGATAGTATGATGGAATTGTGGGTAAATACAAACAGTTACATTTACGCTCAATAGTGGAAGCATTTATGGGAACAAATAAGTGATGGTTTACATTCAGTTTCAGTCACTATTTCTGTTTGTTTTGTTTTATTCAAGAATCTCATGTTCAGCTTGCGTATTGTGTCGTGCAGTTCATTGAGAAGGACTCAAGTTTGACTCCACAGGTTTTCGACGCCCTTCTAAAATTTTGGCCTAGGACCTGCAGTAGTAAGGTTTGCCTTGTAATGTCCTCTTGTTTTTTCTTGATTCGTTCCTGCATTATGCACTGTATGTGAAGGATGAAGGAAATGATAAAGAATAAACCGTTCTCCGTTGATTGATCACTTACGGATCTGCTGTTCATTCAATTCCATTAAGCACCGCAGAAGTGTTTGGATGCTTACTTGGTCTATACAGTGACTCACCGGAGCCTACCAATGTATGAAGTCAGTGTTTTTATCTCCCACAGACGTCTAATACAAATATGCTCATACCGGAGAGATAGCAGATTTGGTTAGCCCAGGGCGCTGCATCGTACCAACGCCCATCTGCGTATTATAGCGTACCTCGAACCACTACGTCATTATATGAGTTCCAGTGTTATGTGTGTCATTAATATTTTATCCTATTAAGCTTTTCCAGTGCTTTGTTAAGAAGGTGGTTTTTCCAGGAGGTTATGTTTCTTGGTGAGGTTGAAGAGATCTTGGACATCATAGAGCCGGAGCAGTTTAAGAAAATTATAGACCCTTTGTTTCGCCAACTTGCTAAATGTGTTAGCAGCCCACATTTCCAGGTGAGCTTCTCTTTGCTTTGAATCTGCTTGTAAATTCCAAAGTTTCCTATTTCCGGTCGCTGAACGGGCGCTCTACTTTTGGAATAACGAATATATTCTTTCGTTAATCGAAGACACTAGTGCCCAAGTAAGTAGTTTTTTTAATCTTAAAGCTACGACTATACCATTTATTGTCTGGGACACCTTTCTATTGGTAAAATTTTCTTTGGTTTCTAGGTAATGCCCATCATGTTCCCCGCATTATATCGTATTTCGAAAGAGCATTGGAATCAGACAATTGTGGCATTAGTGTACAACGTACTTAAAACCTTCATGGAAATGAATGGAAAGCTTTTCGATGAGCTCACTAGCACATACAAGATGGAGCGGCAGAAGTCAGATTTTTTTGCATAATTTTATAAGGTGTCCAGTACCTTAACTCTAAGGGATTTTTTTGTTCGCTTCTTAGGGAGCGCAAACGAGAGAAGGACCGTGAAGACTTTTGGAAGAAATTGGAACAACTCGAACTCAATCCTCCTGATGCTAATAACCCTCCGCGTATTTTCCCAAACACGCCGTTAACGCAGTTCATTCAGGTATAAAAATTTTATTTTTATTCGGTTACATTTGACTATTTCCAATTATATTACATGCATAGGAAGACTGTATAGATTTTTTTTTTCTCTGTGATATGGACGTCTATAGTCATTGTTGAACCTAATATTCGCCAGGTTCGCCAAAAGTCAATATCGGGTACCAACTTGTTTTTCAAAGTGGTATATGTTAGAACTGAATAAATTTTGTTAGTCGAAATGAAACCATTAGAAACTAGGTGTTTACCAACGAGGAACAAATTTCCTTGCACCGATTGTGTAAAACTCCTCTGTAGGCGATGAAGTCACTGAAGGCAGTTTCGACCTGGACTTTGTTTCTTAAGAATTACTCGTACAGGAAGTTGTTGAGATGTTTCAAGAAGTGGTGGTCGGTAGACGAGAGACATGGCTACTATGGTATGTGCGGCAGAGTTTCGTTGGGAAACTCATTCAACTTTTGCAGTGTTGCCAGCGCGTAGTCGTGGAATAGTACTAGTCCCTTTGTGTTGATCAAGGCGGAGCACAATCGTTAAAGTTTTCAGTGCACTTTGTCCATTTGCTGGACGTAATTTTTCATCGTATTTATTCGTGGTATTTCATCGAATTCTGTATAACATTAGACATCATCCAAGCGGATCGAACGCTTGTTGACTTTGATAAGACTCGTGCAAAAAATGATCTTCGACGAGATCTCATAAAAACGACGTTCATGAGGAATAGATAGGTTTCGTATGACCCATCCACGCTCAACGGATTGGACATCTCCAAATGCTCCAGTTACGTCTATCTAAGTCGTGAAATCAACATGATGAATGACTTAGTTCCAGGTTTGAGCAGAAGGAAACGAACGGCTTGGCGAGTTTCCAAGATCATCAAAGATATAGTGAAGAGAGCAAAGATACTCTTCTGTCGAAGATAAGATGGGCCGGGCAGGTAATACGTATGAAAGACAATCTATGGACAAGAGCCGTTAGGGATTAGATTCCTCGGGATGTCAATCGTGCTGCAGGAAGATCACCGACTTGGTAGTGAGAGTTCTTTACGAAAGCCATAGAAGAAAGATATGATGCTAAACGACTCCCTAGAGCGAGCAGAACCCCCTGGTCTACTCTTGCACGTGGCAGGAAAGAATGGATGATTTAACGCCCGCTAGTGTCACTCGACGATCAATGGGACGACAGGTGACACTTTTTCATCGTTATTGTTTTATCCGGATTCAACGAATTGTAATGGATTAAACCAGCCGTAGTCAATTAAACACTCAGCATTGGTGCAATTTCGGCTTTAGGAAACTTCGCGACTATTTGTTTACCCAGTTTCTTTGACTTTCTAACTTCTTCAGATGCGCCGAAACAGTTGATGTGGACACTTCGAGTTCTTCTGCAAGCTTTCGAGAAGTTGTGAACGTATTTAGTTGAAGTCACTCTTCAATCAATCTACGTTAGTAGAACAACGTTCTGGTGACCCCCTATATCTTCAAAGTCCCGGTCCCATCCCAGTCAAAATGAAATTTTCCAAACCAACGTTGCCCCGTGCTCACATCAACACTTTCTTGGCCGCATACCTTCACGTTTCGGAGCGTGGTTTGCTGTGTGGACGTTCAAGTTCGAATTCATAGTAGTTTTATCGGAATTTCTGTTATGATATCTGAAATTTTCTAGTCCTTGAAGTTTGTGAAAAGGGTTATATTATAATCCACTTAAACGAAACGAAAGTGCACAAAATCAGCCGTGCAATAACGTATTATGGTACAGCATCCAAAAAAACTTGCCAAAGAATAAATATATATATATATATATGTATTAGAGAAATGGAATTAGAAATTACGAATTCGGCATTAATTTCGCAACCAAACAGCGAGAGATCAAAGCGAGATGTAAAACGAGTGGTATAATATTCCCATGTTTGTTTTCCGTGATATTCCTTGGGATGATCCTGCAATGGAAACCGTGCATTTTCTGTGGTGTTTAACAAAAAGGATAGCAGATTACGCATAAGTAGCACAGGTAGAAAGCTCTGAGTAGTTAATATACCTTTGTTTTCTAGCCACAATCAAGCACCACTTCTTCCGTAACAAAGGAAGGTGAAAAATCTCCTGCAAGTGGGAAGAAGTTGTCAGCTGGTAATATAGCTGGCACAAGTCCGTCAGGAAAGAAGCAGTGAGGTAAAAGATTTCCAGACCTTGCTTATTTTTGCATTACTGTTAATCTTTACAAATTGATGGAATAAAATGAAGGAAATAAAGCAACTTGCAGGTTCCAAAAGCCTCCTCCACAAGTTGCTGTTTATAACTGGCTCTGTTTTGTAATTACTTTACTCGTAATGTCTACAGTTTTACTACGGCATTGTCCATGGTTATTTAAAATAATTCACGGACTTCGTAGCAGCCACGTTTACGCTGCTGACTTATAGTTTCTTCACTCGTTTATGGATTAACCTTTTTGCACCACTTAAGGCGTACTGACAACTTTCCTTTATCGAACGTCACATTCACATTCTGGTACCCTTTCTCTATTAGCTATTCTAGTGCGCTTTCTACAAGGATTGCGAGCAAATGTATCCTGTAGTCTTTGTTACCTATACCCTGTATGTTTGTGAAATACGTGCTTGTATCCATGCTTGATATTCTGTTGCCCATTTTTGAGGAACATCTTTTCAATTCCTATTTGTTCCTTACCAATTCGTTCGCTCATACATTTACATCAGTTGTTCACCAGTTTTTAAGGGTGTTATCTAAGAACCGTATCTGCCGGCGGTTACTTTTATTTCTGTGTCTTTGAATCGTTCCTATGCTGTCTCGCTTTTTTTTTTTGTTAAATTCAACCACCCCTCCCTCCCCCCCTAATGTCGAACGTAGCACTAGTTACTGATCTAATTCGAGTATTTAGAACTTATTGTGGGGAAGTTCTCGTCATTTGCTCCCCATAACATTGCTATTTTGCTTGCACTGGAAACGAGCGCTAAATTTAGGTAGTTTATAAGATGCAGTATAGTATAATTTATTTGTAAATGTAATTACTGTGCATAAATCTTCTCCATGAAGTATTAAGATGAGAATTTTACAAAAATACCCGACAATAAAGACAACAACACCAGTACTGTTGTCACTTCTTGCTGATATGATCACAACAATAACGATTTACAACGTCAACAGCAACCGTGAACAATCAGACAACGGCGCTAGGCAAAACACCAATTGCTCACACTTACTAGGACGCTGAGCCATCACAAGTGGTCAGTGGGGCTGCAACGTCTGTTCTCCTATTGCCATAATGTCAACATTACATTCAGAAGTTTCCGTATCCTCATAGCTATCTATGAGTTCCAGTTCTGTTATGTCCGTAAGAGCTCCGATTGATGGGCAAGTAGTAACCTATAAATAGAATGTATACAGCAGCGAAACATGTCGGACAAAAGGCAAAAAACATTGAAGAACTACATTAGCCAAACATATTGGTAGGCTATACCTATGAAGAAAATCCTTCACTGTAATGTAACCAATAGTGAGTGAAACGCTTCAACCCACGATGCGGAAGTCTCCCAATGGAGAGTGCCACTATGAAATAGATTATGTCATAATAAATCAAAGATTGCGTCTAACCGATTTCGCTGCTGTCCCAAAATTCTACATGGGATCACACCATCGCCTCAGGTGACCCAATGCCTTATTTCAAATTGATGTTTTGACCTGGGTGTGTCTCAGCCGTCATCCCACATGAACAACACACGGGTGGTCCCACTCGCAGCAGCATGATGAGTAGTTTTTGAACAATATGGCCTTTATTTATACATTACATCTTCGTCAATACTAGAGAACTATTGTAGATTTAAAAGTTAACCACTTTTATTGATGAAGAACAAAACAAACAAAGTTTCAAATTGAACAACAACTGAATAGATGTTCACTCGTCATGTCACTCGAGCCCATTGTCAAGTAAACGACGCCTTTAATCACTCCGTGAAATTGCTGTCACACTCATTAGAGACCAAATGGCTCCGTCCAATCCATAAAATATGGGGCATATCTGTGGTGAAAGTCTGGCAATGTTTTTGCATGGTTATTCCGGAATTGCAAGCAGAATCCACTGGATCAGCTTTCGACAGCATTCATGTGAACAAATATTCATAAAGCAGCAGTCTAACATAGAAGAAAATCAGACGACCTACTGTGATCAGATGACAGAACGAATCGAATGAAAGAAGCTTCGGATCCGCACATAAGATGTGAAGATGGATCATATAAAGTAAAAATAAGTAGAGGTTATTGTAAAGTAAAAATAGGCCGAAGTGATTTACTTGTATGAAATGAGTAATTCCAGACATCCCAAGTTTTTAACTTATTTTCAGTAGCTATTTAATCTGAAGTTAGAGACCCCGACGACAAATTCATGGAAGGAGCGTTTTCGTTATGGATCTTTTCCTCCTACTATTTGCAGAACTCATTTAGTTCTCTCTGAACAGCTGCGCTGGTTAGAAAGTAACAATTGGTGATACAAACCGTCTTTCGACGCAGAGGTTGAAAGCAGAGAATTGCCAAGCGAAGTGGTAATACTTCGTGTTAACAGGTGATATGAGTAACGGCAAGGTGAACAAAAAAGTGTTCTGATGACGGACAATTTATGACGGGATCTCTTCCTCACGAATGACACATTTCATATAATTGGCGTATTTTGTTCTCAAGCAGCTCACTTATTGTCGAGTGATGATACAGGCTTAGGTAAGATCTGTGACATAACCCGCTACTAAAGATGTTTGGGTTGATACTCGGAAACAAAAGCAGTCAAAATGCCATGTCGTAAACGTATCATTTCAAGTTGGTTGCAATGATTTGCGAGAAAAGATTTGATTACAAGTTTTCTCATTGCTTGACGTCATAAGTGGATCCGCCGGGTACGTATTGTAATGAGGCTGGTTTATTACTTGTTGAACAATATGCCATTCCATGGGGTTTAGACGCAGACTTGCTAGGACATCTTGAGGTGGCCACCGTAGAAAACAGACCGCCTTTGCGAATATAAGGAGGTTATGTTGATATCTCTAGAACGACGATTTCCTTACACACATAATGCTTTGTTTTTAGGTAAAAAATCGATTAAAGTGTCGAACTCTTCAGTTCAGAAGAACATACGGAGTATTGTAAATCGAAGTCCAAACAATATTCAATCCAAAGTATACTATGTGCTATTGACACTTGGTACTTGATACTTGAACGACCAGTCCTCACTGGTTGTGCAGGCCCGAGCATAATCCCCACTTTTCGGGGATGTGTTGGTGAAGCCATTGTGGTTCCCTGGAATCCCGAGATCAGTCTGGCCAAAGTCTGCCATAGGTCGTCACCACGACAGGCAGTCGCAGCCCTTGTGGATTAGAGGGAGATTTGCCACCATACGACTTTGATACCAGGACGGTGGTGGATCCCGATATTGGTTTACTTTTAGTTAGGCTTCCTGATGGAAACACCGGACTCCTTCTCAGCTTGGGAGAGCCTGTCAGGAGATGAACCCCCCATTGTACATCGCAGTCGGACACTCAAGAACACCTCCCAGCAACGATGAGGCGGTAAACCGTTGGTAGGCTATGCGCTATTATAATAATGAAATGGCGGATATTCTACTTTAATACATATCAAACAGTCCGACCTATTGGAAAAAAAAGAAACTCACCGTTGGGATCACAGTTGAAGCACACTGATCAGACTGCATCGTCGTTGGGGATTGTGAAGGTGAAGGGAGGCACAGATCAGATAATGGAGGTGCGCTCAGCATGCGTGGTGGACGACCACCAGTAATCTAGTATTCCAATATTTTGTGGTATTTCTCTACATAAATGAGCAAGTTATTTAGAGTTAACTTGAGAAAATTCCTTACAGATCAAAAAAATGTTATACCTGGTTATTCAACTGCTCGAGCTGTCCTCCAAATTCGCGTTTTATAGATTCGATAGCTCGAAAGACAGCTTCCTTCAACATATTTGCTTCACAGTTACAAAGACGGTTAAAAAGAGTAAGATCTATATAGGAATTTATTTACAAGCACACGTTTTGCAGCTATAAAATGTTAAATATATATGAATACGCTATATGAAAAAGTTGATCCTCACCACTCCAAGTTGTGACTCCCATTCTGGTTGCTCACACTTCAGTTTGTTCTGCAACTGCTCTAGCTGCGCTTTATCGCGCTTTCTTTGTTCCTCATTTCTTTTCTTCTCATTTGCTAATAGAGATATCTATAAAGCAGACAACTAATATAACAATATTATGCTTAAAGAAAAGGACAAAACGGTAAAGGGCTCGACACTGATCAATTCCCGATTCACGTGCCATGGAACCTTCATCACTAAGCATTGTGAAAGGGACTGAGCGCATATTTGGCCTAATATGACTTGAAGTAGCTTGCCGATGTATCGAATAAGTGTTGCTCATTCTCTGAGACAACTCTACAATCAATTTGTTGTTCTAAGAGAATGATTTTCTTAGGGACGCGGTCGAACTGCAGGCGCTTGTGCGCAACATGTAGATTTCCCAGATAATAAGTAACACGGTGCAGACCTCAGTAAACAACTACACGAGCTTCGAGGTAATCAAACAACTCGTTTTTCACCCGCTTGTACCGGTTTCGCCTCTAACCTATTTTAAAAAATCTCGAACAACGTCATTTACGGCAACGTTTCAATTTGTTAGGATGCTAATTGAACGTGCGATGAAATACAGTTTTCATCACTAAAAGCGAAATACCATTCTGGAAAACGACTTTCACTTAACCTCAGCATTAACGACCTCATCAATATTTTTTATTGAACAAAAAAAGCACCTTTATTGACAAAGCACTGTTTGGAGCGCTCGCGTAATTTAGAACTTTTCAACCTACACAGATCTTGTCGATGACTTGAAAATATCCAAAATAAAAGCTTAACAAAAATAATCACATCTTTGATTTCACTGATCTCGATAGATCTAAGAATTGCTAACCAGCTCAGTAATTCTTGTCTAAGATTTAAAGAAAAGTCTAAGTGATTGAATTTACCAACCATATGGCACAAGTTACAGAGGAGGTATCTTCAACATTAAAAGAAAAACATGAACTTCTTTTAAACACTCAGTTAGATCACAGACTTCAAAGGAGATACGAGTGAATTTAGTAGGTATATGTTTTCTGCCTTGTGTATGCTGCATCAAAGTGTTTGTACTCACGTAGACATATTCAACCATACTCATGATTTCGTGATTGTGCTTACACGTACGCATATTATACGTGGCTCTTGAATGGAGAGAAATTCAGACATCATCAGTGCTTATCTGAATTGTTCGACAATTAACGGGATTACGGACTGTAGATGACATGGGTGATTTTCGCAGTAAGATACCACCAATAGGTGGATACCTGAATACTTGGATGGCCCGTATTCACTGGTTTTGCACTGCACAATATAATATCCATTTTTTCTCGGAGTTTTGGTGGTTTAACCACTGTGTTTCCCTGGAGCCCCGAATTCAACCTAGCCTAAACCCTTCCCAGGTCGTCACCACTGCAGGGATCAGAGGGAGATAGCACCAATTAGTTTAGAATTCTAAATCTTTTATCCTAGAATTTAGTACAACTTGAAAAGAATGTGGAGACTATAATTCTCTTCAAGACAAGTTGTACAGATTCTTCACCTTTTTCGAGTTTGTTTAAGAACAATATTACAAGTGAGATAAAATAGTAGTACCCTTTCAGACAACTTCCGCTCTAATTCCACTTTTTCCAATTTCCACATGCGTTCTTTCTCACGAACAGTAGATAGTTCGTATTCCATTCTTCTGCAAAATTTCAATAACAAATCTAGAAGTAACCAAAATTAATTGCAAAACAACACACTCACTTATAATCAACCAGTCTGAGATCAACAGCTGCTTGCATACTTTCGATTTCTCGTTTTAGGGAATTCACTAGTTTTATGGCATCATCTCGTCTGAAAACCAAACAAAAAAAACACTCTCGCAATGAATGACACATAAAGGTGTCATAGTCGTTTCGTAGAGATACCTATAGGTGTCATTTTCCTTTTGGTGGTTTATTTTGCTACATAAAAGTTCTCCTCCAGGACTCCTTGTAATCAATCAATAATAATCAATAATCAATCGACAGTTAATCCAAGGCATACAATATGGCGAGCGTCGTCCATAGGAGGATGTTTTCTTAATGATTTCTAATTTGGAGCGAGTAATTATTGCTGTCGAGTGGAGTACGCAGTCTATGGTCAGTGAAGAGATGCAATAATGCCTCTGTTTTGAAGAAATGGGAACAAACGCAGTGTAAAGCATCATCATTAATAAGCAATTCGTTGTTTTCTACGTTTCAATAGCTGTGATGGCCTTTGGGTACTGTACCAAATGAGAGGATATGAAAGCTAGAAGGAAAACGTAGCACTCCTTGAAGAATTTATACACCTCCATTAAATACACTGACATCAGTATGACTGAATACTGAAGGAGTGTTTTTCTTCATACAGAAGTGTTGTATACGCACAAAAACCTGGATGTAAAGAAGAATATGGAGTATAGCATAACAGAAAAGTAGAAATATTTCCAAAATGCAAACAAAAACCTATTTGCGGGATGGAAATGAGTGTTAGAGGCGGGGCTACATGAAAAATAGCAAGATGGTCCTATAGACACCTATAGGTGTCAGAATAAGCTCAGAGAAAAATTAGGCGTTGTCGCAATAGGGTTAAACAACTTACAGTAATGCTCATGATCGATTTCATATTATCCTAAGGCATTGACCAAAACCTCGCTGTTTTCGTTGTTGTAGTATCATACTATTTATTAATAGAGCTAACAGTTCGGCGGATTTGGTTTTTTCAGAGCTTGGAAAGATCAAGTTAACTGCAACCTGGTCTGCCAAATACCTCCATAACCTCAACAGAAAACCCACGATATCTATATTTCAATCTCACTGAGAACACAACAGCATCTACACACGGTCAGCGCTTTCTGTGGGTCCTCCACTGAGTATCCAACGTGAAGACCAACCGGACAGTTTCACATGGATGGGTAATATGACTCTCTCATGTTAAAATATCAGTCTTCGATAAGTAAATCTGAAAACCTTCACCAAATAGTACAGAAAGTCAACTAACAAAAACACACAGGTTCATTACCTCTCCACTCACCTTTCACACACAAAAATGGCGCTTGTGAAAAACATGTTCCGAACAGCTACAAGTGTGTTCACTGGAACAGAGCAGAAAAATTCCTGAAATTGGCGCAACGAATAGCTATTTTCAACTATGAAGCGGTAGCTAGTCGGGATAAGTTTAGAGAAAGAAATGCGCTCAAGCGATATGCCAAGATAATAAAAGGAGCCGTTTATCCCACCTTCCATTCCCAACGAAATAAGATCGATTATAAGACGTTTCTTAGAAAAGGTCGGTATACAGAAATCGGTAGCAGTGTACTAAATACCACCGAACACTCTAAAACGCCAGCTAGTTCGCAATCGTCTATGCGTAAAGCAAAATCGCATAAACTTCCCCAACGGTACAGACGGTAACTGCATAAGTTCGAGTACGGTTCACTTCATAGCTTGTAATGTGGGCGTTAAGAATACACTGGCGAAATGGGTAGGTCACTATGTATTCGTAGAAAATAACACCTATACTGTAAGCGCAATGCTATAACAAATAGTCCACTAAGCGCGCATAGGACAAAGACATATAACGAGAAAGAGTTCGAAGCAGAAGTCACTACTTCCGGAAAGGAATCGAAAACTTCAGCGTGTAAAACGCCTTAAGCACGGTAGAAAAGTTGGAGGAATCCAAATATAAACCGAAGAGAGGAATGTCTCGTAATCATGTGTGGTCTCACACAATATTTAAGACTGCTATTTTAATGTGAGAAAGGTACATAACGCTTCCATGTAAACTCTGCGTGGATGGTCTACATATGAAACACTCAGTAGAAGACTCATAGGAAGCAGTGAGTGTGTGAAGAAGCTATTTTGTTTTCAATACATACAACTAAAGCCTTCGTTTCTGATTTTTTGTTTCGGTTATGGAGGTGTTTGGCTCAGTAGATTTCATTCAACGTGCTCTTCCTATGTTCTGAAAAAGGCGAAATCTGCTGAAACTTTAGCTAATATTAATAGATGGTACGATAAAAACTAATTATAAAAACGACCATGAATATAAATATATGACTAAGATTATGAATATGAATAAGAGTTAAATAAATGGTTCGAAAACTACGAGGTGCGAATAGGACAGTGATAAGAGGCACCCTGCAATGCACATGGAACCAATCCCATCCCACCGTCGCAGGCCCACGAAGACTTCCATCACTACGGGATCGGCGGTACCTGACTTGCCTGGGAGGACAGAAGCAGTGACTCGATACATCGGTACGCCACCGATATAGGTCAGATATGCATTCAATCTCTTCTAACGATACGCAATGAAGTCGAATGCATGGCGCATCTTTCAGGATTGCGCCGATATCCTCCCAGACAATGTGGTACCAATTTGCCGACTCTGGAGCGATGGAAGGCTTGGTGAGCCACGGGCGCAGGGTTCGATCCCCTGTGTGTGTTGCAGGGCGCTTCCAACCACTGCAGCACATCCGATAGGATATCATAAACAAAAGCTATACCTGAGCAACGAAATTTGCAAAAAATTTACTAATAATCCTACTAAAATTGCAGCGTTTTTCCGGAAGGTTCGTCTTCCTACATAGTCCGCGGTCATTGGTCTACTAGTTGCAAGAACATTGGCAGCTGCAAAAAGCACTGCCCTCCAAAGAGACTTCTAGGAATTCAGCAAACCTTCATAGAACCCATAAGGGCCCTCTTTGCATAGCACTGTCATTTACAGAGGTTTGCGAAATAAAGCCGAAATAACAAAATCACGATGATTAAGTTCTTGTTTATTTGCCACTTTTTTCATGACAGGGTATTATGTGAAATACAACCATAACTATGCTAAGACATATAACTACTATAATGCTGAGATATTTGCAAAACGCCGGACCGCAGATGTCTGTGGTGGGGAACGAACGCGCTATTGTCCTTCCCGGATAGCAACGCGTTCACCACCACACCATCCGGCTCCTTCGTTTCGCCATGGGAAAAGATCGATAGAACTAGCTGAGAGACAGACCCGGATGGTGTGGTGGTGAACGCGTTACTCCCCGGAAAGGACAATAGCGCGTTCGTTCCCCACCGCAGACATCTGCGGTACGGAATTTTGCAAATATCTCAGTATTATAGTAGTTATATTTCGCAAAATACCCTGCCGTTAAAAAAGAACAGGCAGTAAATACCAGGTTAGCTTCGAACCCTGCGACTACGCTTTCCAGAGCCTCATTGCATCACTGATGCCTTTGCTTTGCCTTTTTCCCGGCCAGTTTTCCACTCTGACTTAGCTAACGCGATCACTTTTACGAATGGAGGTTAAGAGATGGCAAATCAAATGTAAGGACTGCTTGAGCGTGCATGAAATGTGAGGATCGGTTAAGTAGGGACAAAACAACATATCAGTTCAAACAAAAGGAATATGCAGCAGTTTCGAAGCATTTTTGGAGAATAAATGACATTTAAGCCACAGAATTCTCTCCATATACGAAATTTTTGGACTTAATGACAGTCTCAGAACCACAATGAACGGTAAAAGAAAAAGTAGACAAACTGTTTACATTACAACCATTTTTGTGGAGTGCAGGAATTGATCACATACAAGTTTGACAATAATCTTCAAACTGATGGGGATGAGAACGCTTGCTCAGCGAGACGGGGTTCGCGCTAAGGCCTAGAGAGTGTTGAACGGCATCACTACCAGTTGTACACCTCTCGCCTTTTGCAAGTTTGAGTGGTAACGTAAGCAATCACTGAATATGCGAAAACTCGAACACACTGACATCTTAGTCATCATTCCTACGTTCATAGAATCTAGAGATTTAATGCTATTGCACCTTATCGGTTTATTAGTAACGGTTTCAAATAAAAAATTAGACGTAGAAACCGATAAAACTCACTCCTCTCTACAGATGCGATTCTTCTCTACCAATTCCTCGCATTTTTTGCCTAGAACCTCATTTCGTTTTGTCAAAAATGACACCTGTTCAGTGCTTGCAGATAGCTGCATCTCGGCTTGCTTCTGAAGCTGAAACAATCTGTCTCAGTGCTTGTTTAGTTTTTGAGCAAAAAACTTCAAGCAGAAAAAAATCAACATGACAACACTACACAACAAACGAAGGACGAGAAAATCACCCAACCCTTTCAAATTTCGCATTTTAAATATGTCTCACATGACCTAAGCAATATACCGCATTTACTGTTACAACCACAAGTGAAAAATAACTTAACATACCTCTAGCCAAAAACACTCTTTATATATGACCAAAAAACTGTTTAAAACTCCTTTTCCTACATAAGGCATTCTTAGCTTCGACGAAGCGGCGTCATTTCTAGCGTTCACAAACATCACGACATGCATTTATACACACACATATCTATTACATATGTATATACATATATACATGTATATGCATGTGCATATATATGCACATATACTTGTAAATTCATGTGCACATAAGTCCATGTACATACACATGAACATACGTGAATATATATACATGAATAGACATATGTACATCATATATTATATATACAAATAGTGAAAAACAATCTGAAGGTTAGAAATGACACACTTTTGAGAGTTCGTCGCTCGCCGTTCGAATAATTTCGGCTTCTTTTCGGAGTGAAGAAATTATCTAAAACAACATTTCATTGGCACTACGGCAGTTATCCCAGTGAGCAGCTACAACCCTTATGAAGCAACTGGAAACAACCAACCATTACCAACCTCGTGTAAGCTTATCAAAGAAGGAATACATATTCATTAGTCATACCGACGTTAAAGGAAAGTCGATTTTGAAGTCAACCATTACTTGCTTAGAACACTAGACAAACCTGGGAATTCTTAGTAGCTGTTTGTTGCCACTTTTGTTGATTTAAACGAGATAACGCTAACTCCTTTTCAAGATTCCCACGAATAGCTGCTCCGTTACTATAATATATACATATATAATTCCACATATAATGCAGTACTACATAAAATCACTGGAAAATCAAAATCAAAAACACTATATTAACCAAATACTTCCAAGTTCTTACTAGAAGGTGCCAACCTTAGCTCATTTTCAAGCGCCCGAATTCGAATGCTCGTACAGCTTAACTCATTCCTCATACGAACAACTTCAGCTTCAAGAAAATTGTTAGTTTCCAACAATGATGATGCCGTTGGTCCTAGATTACTGAAAGGAAAATTGAAAATGTGTCCTTATAAGGATATACCAATCTCATAATCAATACTGCTACAACTTAATAACTTACGTGAAATTTGGATTGATATGTACTCTAGCAGGTGTTCTATCCCGAGTTCGATTTCTAGAACGGGACCGTTTACGACGTCGACGATGCTAAACGACGATCAGTGGCATGGAACTTTCCACAATATGTTTCTATTTTCTTTATTTTATACGACCCATCTTCACATCTACTGTGTGGATCACAGCAATTCTCACATTCGATTCGTTTTTTCGAATCCATTACCCACGGAAATCTTCCAAATCTACGTGTGGCTTCGCCTCCTGCTTGAAGATTTTCATTTCATCCTGAATGGCGTAGAATGCTGGCCGAGTCGATTCTCCCTTGAGTCCTGAGATAGCCGGGCTGGAGCGTTCCAAATCGGATTGCAGAGTGATTTTTCAAGGATAAGTCCGGTACCAATTTCTCGATCCCGGAGGGACGAGGGATTTGGTTGGCCGTGAGCAGAATCGAACTACCACTATGCTCGTGAAGAGCGACATCACTACCACTATGCTATCCGCACCATTGTCCAGAATAAGTTGCCCAAAACGTTAGCAAAAAGTGGTAGAGCGAATTTCTCACCCATTGGGCTACAGATCAGGTCTAACGATCCCTACAACCTTAATGACGCCTCAGAAAATCAAAGCTAACCGTCCCTGAGCTGTGATGGTGTTTTCTCTGACGATCGTCACTTCGACTTCGTTTTCGTTTGCCATTATCATAACGTTCATAGTCATTGAACCCGTTCGTTTCCTAAAATATAGTAAGAGATCCTGATATACCATTGTGAACACAACAAAAAGCCAACAAATTTTAATATCACACACCTCGTAACAATCTCCGTTCAGCATAGTAGTGCCCTGCCTTCCAATTTTAGAAAAAAAAGTTGTACTCGGAAAGCAGTACAACAAAAACCACTCCAATCCCAAAAAGAAGAATATGACTTTAGCTTTCAATATGTTTAACTAAGCAGGTGGTGTCCGAGCATCTAACGAAAATCTAGGTACAGGAAGCTTCATCGGCCGAGCGAGCCACTCGGGCCTGAAAGTACAAATCTGAAAGTTCTCATTCATTCACTGCATTACGTCACATCCATAAAAATTTCTGGAAACAACCATTCTGTTAGTGAAAAAGTATAAACTGTTGACCAGTAGTCAACAAGATTTGCACTAGAAATCCAGAAGAAAGTGTTATTCGAAATGGATTTCTAGAAACAATCTTATAGGATGTAAATCGTTCGAGTGTATGCGGTCCCGCGCGGATAATGCCTGTCATCAGAAAGACGGTGTTGGCGATGACAATTCCGTCAGTGTGCCAGTATTCTTGGTCGTCGGCGATTATGTTCTTTGCTGACTGCTGAGTTTCTAGGATTTACGTCGGTGCATAATTGTGCTCAACGTAAGTTTACTTAAGGATTCAGTCGACTATTAGGGTTTAGTATGCGTGGTTAATGGTCAGACGAAGGGGTTCGACATCTGATCATATCCTTGGTGAAGTTCTCCTTGCCAAGTGTTTAAAATCTGATGTGATGTGTTGTGCCACGATTGATTTCTCTACATATTTTAACTTTTTATTCACTGCATAATATTTTTTCATGGTAGAGTTCTATCTGAAATACAACCACAAACACGCTGAGGTATTTGCAAAACTGGTACCCCAGTCTACTTTCGAACGCACGACTACCTTTTCTACTTAGTGTTTTACTTGGTTGGATATATGGATGGCCTGTCTTCACTGGTTTTGAGCGATAATGAATGGATAGGGGAGAAAGCTCTCGGCGTTGCTCAACACCTGAGATTCGTCATGCATACGACTTCATTAAGCACCGTTGGAGGTGATTGAATGCTTATCTAGGCTTTACAAAGACTCGCGGTGGCCTGCCAGTGTATAGAGCCAGTGCTGCTCTATCCTCCCCTGATAAGTCTGATACCAGCTTGCCAATCCCGGACGGATGGAAGGCTTGGTGAGCAAGGGTACGGGAATCGACCCATGTGTATAGCAGGGCACCTCCTAGCACTGCGCAACACGATCCTAACGTAATTTCCATTTTTCGGAGTTTTTCTGGTTTATCCATTGTGGTTTCCTGGAATCCCGAGGTCAGCCTAGCTAAAATCTGCCCCTGGTCGTCACCATCTCAGGCAGTCGCCGCCCTTTTGGATCAGGAGGTTTGCCACCATGCGACTTGTTTGACACCAGGGCGGTGGTGTATCGCGGTATTGGCTTACTCTTTGCTGTGCTTCGAAGCGGAAGCGCCAGACTCCTAAGCTTTGGAGATCCTGCCAGGGGATGAATCCCCCGCCGTACACCGCAGCCCGGCACCTTGGAACGCCTCCCTGCCGCGATGAGACGGAAAACCGTTGGGAGGCCGTAAACTACTTAACAAAACAAGGTAAAGAATTGTTAAATAATAAAAATAAGACAAATGGCAGACTATAGAAATCCCCACTTCGAAATATTTTGCCATTTAGTGCACTTAATGTGTGGAATGTAGTGTCCAATTCTTAGTAAAAAGTTTTGAAATGGAATTGGATATAATGCTGAGTTCTGTTTTCCGGAAGATGAGTGCGCTGGTGATTTCTACATTCAAACCTTCGTGGCATAATGTTGTTGGACATGAAAAAGATGAATCCCTTAAATGGTCAGATTCTAGACGGGTGTTCGTTGTTCAAGGAACACCCGATCGGTTGTGAACCTTTCGTCGAAGTTGATTGTTGTGAGAAATCGGATTCTGTCGAAGCACATACGTGAGTAGTTTTGTTTCCTCTATCTCAAAACTTATCTATCTTTTTGCCAAACCATGAACTGTTTATGTTAGTTCCTTATCCTGGAGTTAAGTACTTCGTGAAATTTGTTGGTTTATCCTTGAGTTCCTATTTATAAAGACATCTTTTGATAAAGTATGTGTAACTGCTGTTTCAGTAGTAGATTTGATTGCTCGGATCCGATTTTGAACCACGACCATGATGATTTTCTTGCGGAACTTTCTTATTTTAATCAGTGGAAAGGTGATACCTCAAGTTTCACAGAAGAAAATTCAGCGGGTATTTTATTTTTTGTAACGTATATCGCTGGTTAGTGGGTACACTAGTATATTTTAGGACAGCTCGGCTCTATAGGCAATAATACCCAGTGGAATGAAATTGACGACGCCATCGAGTGGATCGAAAAATTCCGACCAACAGAAATTTCGGTTGTGTATTTGATCAATGTCTGGAGAAATCGTATGCGTTTGTCATTGCTATGGTAGTACATGGATTTACAGAATGTTGACTCTCCGAATTGTTTCGATTATTCGGATGACTCTGCTCGGAAACAACCAAGTGATCCATTTGACCAAATTGTGTCGTTAATTGATTGGGAGGTAAACTATGTTATGCATGAAGATGTTTCAAGTTTCGTTATCCAAAGGGCTCTTCCACCTTGTCCACACTCGGCAGCACTTTTGTTCTAAAGACAAGTAGCTAAGACTTATTTTTATCAGTAGCAGAATTTTTGCTTTCGACGTTGACACCCTTCCCCTTGGTTCCACATGTAGAAACTGACCAGGGATCTATGTTGTGGTGCTGTAGAAGTACTGTACCACTGTAAAAGGCAGTGATGTTTTGCAGTTAAAGTAACTAGTTTTCGGTGCTGTGTTTATGTTTGTTTATTTCCTAGATGACATACATCTGTATGTATTCGTAAAAATCAATTTCGTTATTGAACCTTAGGCCTGGAATTGCTACCTCGATAATGCGGACGTGGATCTTGACGAATGCACAAAGACAAGTGAAGATGAGGATATAGACCTACTTCCTTTGGTTGGAGGCACGGTTGAGAATACCGTTAGAACTGAGAGCAGTAACTCTGCAAATTCTTGTGAATGTGGTTCCGATCCTACAGATTTGGATTTTTCTGCGGTAAGCGTCTTGTACGTAATAAAAATCGCCGTGGTATATTCTGTTATGCAGGATGCAAAGCTAAATGAGAAGATCGTAGTTCCTAAATCTGGGCCTCTTACGTGGTTGCCTTCCATGGACAATGTGTACGACTGCGATCGTATATCTTCAAGTGAAAAATCAAGTACGGTCTCAATTAAGCCACGCAAACGTAGAGGCGTAAAAATGAAGGTGAATCGCATGTTTGTATCACAATAACAGCTGTACTTCGTAATGTAATAGTTGTCTTTAGCCACTTGGTGATGATGAGACAAATCATCGTCGTCTTCTTAACCGTAAGGCTGCTTTCCGTTATCGGGAGAGAAAGCGCATGAAACAAAATGAACAGAAAAGGTATCTTGGTGTTGTTCAATGCTCAAATATAGTCAAATTTCGTTTTTTTTTTTCTTTTTAAAGAGAGTTGGAACATCTGATCTCTTACAACAGCCAATTGAAGCGACATTTGAGACTGGTTCGCATGGAAATCGATGTTTGGAAAGAAAAAATCAATTGGGCAAAAGATGTAGATTTTTGATGTTAACGTGCTTCATTTTCTTTTTTTATGTTAAAGAAGTGTCGTGTATAGATGGATAGACCGATGTGTTCACAATATTTGTTGCTGTGTGGTTCTCGATCATTTTTTGACTGTTGTGTTTGGTGAGAATAAGAGTGTTAAGTATTAGATTTATTTGAAACATCCAACATTCGAATCTACGAGATCATTTGGAAAATTAGTGATAGACATAACGTTAAAGCACATTTGAAGAACATGACTAGATGAAGGGTGTGTATGTGTGTGTGTGGGTGAAGATAACAGAAATTTCAACGTTGAACGGAATAGATTTGTACATCACTGGGAAAAGTTCTGTCATAGCACGTGTGTACAGTGTGAAGGAAAAAGTAGTGCCTTCGCATGGGACATAGTAGGACCTTCCTCAGCGCAATCGTTTTACACTTATGACGTTACCATACTTGGCACTTGTTTTCTGGATTCATTGGGCTGCCAGGGCTGCAGCCGAATGCATGTGCGAACTCGATCCTGTTCCGCAATGGGATTGTCGCTCTGTACTTGCTTGGAGCATGAACATCGGTCATGATGATTTGCACATAATGTTTTGGTCGCACCACTGAGCACCAGTTCTAAGGTTAAGAATATTGAGGTTAGGCCATTCAGGTGTTTAGGTAAAAACTAATATCCTTCCATTTAATTTTTTCAACAGATAAGGCTCTGGATATAGCACATATATTGTGTAGAACGAAAATAAAATATCTTACATTTGCATATGCAAGGAAGAACATCTGCTCGCTGGTGAAGTTCTGAAAACCGGGAAGAGCAGGTTCTTGGGCGGAAGTGTTGGAGCGCCACGCTTTATATGCCTAATTAACAGAGCGTAACATATTACAGTATCATAAGGAATATTTGAGATACTAAATAAGTGGTTGGTTACGTGAAACGTGTGAAGCAAAGGATGTGAATAAAAAATAAAAAAGGATAAAATAAAAGAGTAAGAAAAAAAGAGAGAAATAAGAATAAAATCATAGCAACTAACGTTAAGCGCAGTTTTCACACCTCCATTGTCGGCAATATTCTCTCCAAGACTTAATTGACCATTGAGATGAATGCCGGCTTCAGCCACCTTCACCGAATTGTACTGGCGCACAAAACACCTGTCAGTGATTTACATTATTCAGAACGACGATATAAATGATAAAGGATAGAGGTAATATAGCATTGGTGAAACTCTGACGGATACGCCATGCGTTCGACTTCGTCAAGCGTCGTTAGAGGTAACTGAATGGATATCTGGATTATACAATGACTTATGGCGGCCTCCCGTTGTTTTAAATCAGTACCGCTATTCTTAAGTCCGGTAGCAATTTGCCAACCACTCATTGACGGAAGGTTTGCTGAGCCTAGGTCTGGCGATCGAACTGACGTCCACGTATGTATTGCAGTGTATTTCAAAGCAGTGAGGTAAGAACGAATACTGACTAACATCGATCTAGAGAGTCTTAGCGCCGATTTACAGTTGGTTGCTTTTGCAACCCAAATATCATCTAGCCTCAGTATGAATAATCAGTGGTGAGCGTACAGCGCAGTTAGAGCTGTTCTACTTTACACACGTGGTCATTGGTACGACCTTACGCTGCAGGCCCACCAAGCCCTCCAGCCCTCCGGGGTCGGTAAAGTGCTACCAAACTTGGCTAGGAGGATAGAGCAGCACTGGCTCTCTACATCGGTAGGCCATCGCGCGTCATTGTAAAGGCGAGATATGCATTCAATCACCTCCAACGATGCTTAATGAAGTTGAATGTATGTCGTGTTCTTCAGGTATTGATCAACACCGAGAGCTTTATCCTCTTTATTTTATTTCAAACCAAACTCGTGTAAAGTTTCCAACTGGTCGGTATTTTTAATATCCATGTTAATTTCGGTTGTATATAGCTCACACATAAGGCTCAATATATAATGGTTGTGCTATGGCTTATTGATGTTATAGAAAACAGCGATCCTAATTTCTTAAAGTAAGCTCACAACAACATATACCTTGTTTTCTCTGCAAATTTTTCTGCTGTTTCTGTATCCCACCAGTCATTAAGATTTCCGAGCTCATCGTACCGGCCACCTTAAAACAGAACTGCTTTTAAATCGTTGGCACAGACGTGTGTCACATATGGTCAATTTTCTTCACAGCTGTTTATTTTGTTGCGCAAAATTCTTTTACTCCACTTTTTATCAAGCGCCCGAGCTGACATGAGTCACGTATGAATCATACTTTGCACGATGAAAAACTAATCGTTGCACCGACGTGCAAGCTCTGTGAAATGTAACGTCTTCGCAAAACTGTTAAACAATGTGAAAAATAGAATGATGCTGAGATATTTGCAAAACTCAGAACCACAGGTATTTGAGGCAGGGATCGAACACGATATTGTCGTTTATGGGGGCCAACGCATTCACATCCACACCATATTGGTCTTTCAAAGAAGTGTGAAAAACATTTCAAGACCGTTTACAAGTATTTTTAGCTTGTGCATACAATGTTCATGGAAAGAAAACTCACCGAAGAATTGATTTTTTATCTTTGCATGATAATGATCGTCAGTAAGAAAAACAATATTGTGATAATTGTATGTTCTGCAAACCTTGATCGTCAAATGCATGTGATACTTCATGTCCAATCACAGCCCCAACCATTCCATATGTGATATAATTGGGAACTCCAAGCGTTAGAAAAGGGAACTGCATTATTCCAGCAGGAAAGACTGAATACGGTAGAGTTAACCACAGTTCTCTTTTAAATGAGTAAGCGCTGAGAAAATCAAATGACCAAACCTCTTGGAAATGGATGATCTATTTTCAATTGGAAAAAAAAAACTCAAATAGTTTTAAAGAAAAACAGCAAAGATTTATTTTACAACGGAAATCGGTCTTTTCGGCCTGTAATCGGTTTCCTAAGTGTAAGACAGAACAGAAGGTATTGTAAGATAACAACTACTATTGGATCCCTCGTCGCATGCGCTCTTCACTTAAACCACAAGTATTGAAAACAACGTTGTACTAGTAATGGCGAAATTTGACTGCACTATCATCACAAGTCCCGAGAGTAGCTGAGAGATTTGGACTGCTTTTGTCCAAGACGCCACCTATATGGATGTTCATAGATAGGATAAACGGCGATACAGCATGCCAGAATTAGTTAGCCTTTAGTCAGTCAACTACACCATTCACTTAGCTGAGTAATAAATAGAACAAGAACTATTATCATTATGTAGTCATTTATATGATCTTATAAGCTGGTCTTCTTAAGCTGATGCGAGGTTGGCATAGGTCTTCGTTGTCTTTGTGGTTGAACGATGACAACGACAGCGAAGACCTATACCAACTTCGCATCAGCTTAAGAAGATCAGTTCATAGGATCACATAAATAAACATATCAACTATCTATGCCGAGATTTGTAGAAAGCCGGTCTTTTGTGTTATTATGTAATCAATTTTTCATTTACTGCCTATTATTCTTCATAGTAGGATATGGTATGAAATACAACGACAGTTATGCTGAGATATTTGCAAAACTCCGGACTCCAGTTGTGAGCGGTGGTGATCGTACACGCTATTAACCTTTACGGGGGCTGACGTGTTCACTACCACATCATGCGTGTCCTTCGTTTCGCCTTTCTCTCAGCCATGTTTTATATGTGCTATCAGCGGTCACCCGTCAACAGGATTGATGTGGGGAGAAAAAATCGGCTTTGAATCCAGTTAGGCCGAAGTTCTAGTATTTATGGCCCATTCTGTCTTTTTTTCATGGCAGCGTATGAATTATTTTTTTCATGGCAAGATGTGAATTACCACACACTGTATGCTATTATCATTTTTCAGAGTTTCTAGAGAATGACCATGACAGAGGCAAAACTAAAATAAAAGTTGCGTGTGGTTCATTTGGAATACTGGACATAAATAACAGCAATTCGTTTTCTTTAGACGGAGAACACGTGACTAGTATCTCAGTTGTACTGAATAGTTCATCACGCTGTTGGCCCAAGTTACCAAGGCGAGGTGGAATCCCGCGCTGGTCTCACCGAGCCCCTCATCTATCAGTGGGAGGGAGGGCAAATTGGTGCCATTCCTGTGTGGGACGACCGCGCTCACTCTCATCTACTTGGTGACGCCCCAGCACGTTAACCTCAGGATTCTAAGGAAGAATCGAGTCGGTTGGAATTCAACGATATTCGTGATGAAGATGGAAAAATCCTAAAGCGGCAACCACCAGCACGCAAAACTGAAGACCTTCGTGGATGATGGACTAGAGGAAATGAATTGAATGCAGAACTCCTGAGATTCTCACCGTGTGATACTTGTGATATAGGATCATTTAATAAAATAGAAAGAATAAAATCGATTAAATAGAGCGTGATAGTACGTGGTCATGGGATGATTCTAAAGTAAAGCAGTGAAGATCTTCACTTCACCTACTCTTAGCAGCATACATTGTGCAAGATATTAACTCTATTCACTAACTCATTTCGTTATTGTTTGGAGCATAGTAGGCGTCAACTTGGGCTGGACTTTGAAACCACATAGATCTGCAATTTTTAACACTAACCTTATGCTTTTATAAAGAAATTAAAATTCCAATGTCACCTGTCTAACGACTTGTCAAGCCTCATTAACTCTTCAGTATAACGCGCAAGCTTAATACGAATAGTAAGATGTAGCAGATATTCTTTAGGCTTGATGAGCTGAAAGGAAGAATAAAATATTTGACAATAAGAATAAAAAGGTTTGCCCACGAACAACAGTTCCTAAAATATCTCGGCAACAAGAGCGTAGCAATAGAACCTATGAAATTTCACATAAAATCCAAAAATTGGTGGTAGCAGAATAAATTTTCCAAAGGTTTTCAGTTACAGCACGTTTACAGTCGAAATATGGCAAAGCTCGTATTGAAAAAAAGAGAGAACATACAATCCCCCAATGTCTGTCCATCCAAGTGTCATTGAAAAGCACTTCAGGGAACCCGTTCTTATACTCAATCATTCCGGCTTTCTCGATAGCTCGTCGACGAGTCGCCTCATCCATCCAATCCAAAACATGCAGCTGTTTGATGAATTCACCTTTCAGGAAAGTTGTTAATTCCTGCATCTGAAAAAAAAGCCATTTAGCTAAGACGAAGACTACTAAGCTACTTTCCGCAACTACCAAGTTAACAAGACCATAATAAAGAGGTTAATTCGACTAACTATCCGACGTCTTTGCCTTCAACGTTAACCGAACAAATCATCTCGTCAACCTCGTGACATCTTAGTAATCCAGGAAGACACTGATTAGTAATGCCGAAGTTAAATGACGGTCGGTTTGAAAAACCATTCAGTTTTTCGAACAAATTGGAACTACCTTGTTAAATCCACTTCTTTATTTATTTTTCTTACGAAGTATCATACTGGCATAGTCCTAATTCTCACAAATTTATCGGCAACAGACAATTCTAACAATAATGCTCCTACTGAAAACAACAATAATGACAATAACAGCAATAATGTTAAAGGAACTATCACACCACGACTTATGAATTCGCCTACAAATCCGATGTGGAGCAAAGCCGAAGTATCCTCGTCTCATTCTTTGATGGCCTCTCACATCTTGTTTCATAAAAATCTGATTGCAGGCAAAAAACTAGCATAGTTTAAACCAGTCAATGTCACTTTTTTATACAAGGACGCTTTGCCAGACATCCGAGTTAAGGCAATAGGTTGCTTCAATACACAGCAGCTACGAATCACGATATGAAAGACTATTTGGGGTATTATATACGTCATGCATTAGGTACTACAAGTATATTAAAGAATAAAAAGGATAAGGCTCTCTGGGCAGATAAATCCCTGATGGATGCGCCATGCATTCGACTTAATTAAGTATCATTGGTGGTGATCGAATGCATATCTGGCCTTTATAATGATTCGCTGTGGCCTACCGGTGTATCCGACCAGTGCTGCTATTCGCAAGAGAAGTCTGGTACCAATTTGTCAACCCCAGAGGGTTGGAGGGCTTGGTGAACCTGGGGTACGGGAGTCGATGCCACGTGTATTGCATGGCGCCCTCGACCACTGCGCTATACGCGCCGCTTAAAAATATTTTGCAAAGTAAAATTATAAAAGAATAAAAAGCACCGGCATGTATATAACCCTATATAATTAAACGCAATGGTCTTTTTATAACCTCTTCTATGTGAAGTTTTTCTCCTAGCAAAAAAAAAAACCGAAGAAAAAAACCTTTCCAACGAAGAAATGTATGAAAAATGCTTTATACCTACCTTCGCCATTGCGCGCTCCCTCTCAAAGAAGTGCTCGACGAACAACTTTCCCACCGGCATGTCCATCATGATAACCGACAACGTGACACAATCTTCCCACCTTTAACAGAACTTTGATACACTACAAATAAATAAAAAATAATCAAGTCTGTTCAGTGGTAGACATAGAACAAGGATATAGAAATGAGCGAGTACCTCTCTGGTGGCGGACTGTTGAACATGCCTGTTTGGTTCGCCTTGAACTGATAGAATGGTTCTCGCGCGGTTGGAGGTAGAAATGGTGAGAAACCTTTAAGAAGAAGCTCGTCGTAATTTGAAAGTTGTCACTGACCGAATCTTAGACATAATGATGTAAGAAATTTCCTTCTAAACAACCAAAATTGTGTAAGAAATCAATTCGCAATCCCTTACTTTACAGTCACATTGGAGCAGGGTTACAATAAACTGTGGAACCATTTTCAATACTATGCCTTTGTCTGATCTAGATTCGATAAGCTATTGATTGATTATGACAGTGTATGAAAATACTCTTACGGGCGAAATAAACCATCAAAAACAAAATGAGGTCTATATGGCTCACACCAGCCAGTGTGAACCTCAGCAAACGACTCCAGTAAAGGTCACGTTCTCGCATAGGTGTTAAATTACTATGCCGCTATGATGTAGAGGACAAATGTGATTAGAAGCTTTTCATTAGGACCCCAACTCAAGTATATGTTTACTCACAGGTGGGTTTTCGAAAGGTTTCTCCATTTCGGAATTAAGTTACCCGAGATCAAATCCATTACGGTACTGGACAAGTTCACAGTCAAGAATATCCTCTTTCCACAGCAAGACGACTAAGAAATGAGGAAGAATGAAAAAAACAAAATAATCTAAGTGTTTCTTCTAACTAGTCTATGAAATAAAATTAAACCAGAAAAATAAGAGCAAACATTCAACGTTGAAGTGAAGACATTTTGTAGCGGAAAAAAGACTTGGGTGATTTAATGCATGTATGGCCTTTAAAATGACTCGTGGTGGCCTACTGATGCGTTGAGCCAATGCTGCTATCCTCGCAGACAAGTCTGGTACCATTTTACCGACTCCGCAGAGATAGAAGACTTGGTGAGCCTGGGGAGCGGGAAGCGAACCCATCCGTATTGCGGGGCTCCTGCCTCCAAACTTAAGGAAATAAATACAGTAATAGCAAAACTTTACCATACCTTGAACGAGTCTCCAAGCAATGTAATTCGCAATAACACGCTTCGGCGTCGTCGATAAGATATGCTGAAAACGCATAAAGACCTTACAAAAAGGCTACAAATATGTTAGAGATTTTAACTTATTATTTACTGCCTAATATTTTTAATGGCAGGGTATGGTGCATAACATAACTTCACTGATGATGAAATATTTGCAAAACTCCGGACCGCGGTGTCTGCGATGGGGAACGAAGGCGTCATTACCCTTCCTGGGGGCTAACGCGTTCACCACCACACTATGTGGATCCTTCGTTTCGCCTGTCTCTCAGCTAGTTCTATCGACCAGTGTCATCGGCAAACATCCGTCAGTGGAATTGATCCGAGGAGCCCAAATCGGCAATGTACCCAGTTAAGCTGAGGCTGCATAATAGCGCGTTCGTTCCCCACCGCATACACCTGCGGTCCGGAGTCTTGCAAATATCTCAGCATCATTGAAGTTATGTTAGAGGTATATTTTTTCACAAATTATGACGTAATGGCGTATTACCTGGATCCCTGAGAAGTACTCTATTTCACGAATAATAATGGTATGATTTTGTGATACATTCGCCAATCCATGAAAAACAGTATTCACATACTTCTCGAAGTTTATCTAAAGAATCATCTACTTCGAATCGATTGCAGTTGTCTCAATGAAAAGCTCTAGGAAAGTCGTTATCAATAAAGAAATACCAAACAGTTCTGGAGAATAAAGCCTGTAATTTTTAAGAATCCTCTTATTCTTCTGAAAAATCGGCATCTTTTTCTTCTTAAGGATTCTTAAAAATTACAGGCTTTATTCTCCACTGTTTGAGTACAGCAGTCATTTTGCTATTGATCTGGTTTGAAGGCTGTTGATCTACGACAACAACTACCAGTTTCATTTCCCTCACATCACCAATGTTCAAGTTTATTTAAAAAAGAAAAACAAGTATTGAAGGATTTGCGAAACTAAATCTTTTCGATGTGAAATACAACTGCAACGATGCTGAGATATTTCAAAATCTCGGACCGCAATTGTCGCCGGTGGGGATCGAACCTCGTCATTACCTTTCCCGGGAACTGACGTGTTCACCACCACATGATGCGTCTCCTTCGTTTCGCCATTCACTCAACCGAGTTTTAGAGGCGCAATCAGCAATCACCCCGTCAGCGGATTGGTGTGGTGGTGAATGCCTTAGAACCCGGAAAGGATGATAACAAGGTTCGATTCCCGCCGCAGATGCATGCGGTCAGGAGTTTTGCAAGTGTCTGAGCATCATTGTGGTTAAATCTATTCGGCTCTTTCATTCTTGATCAAGTACAGATGCTCTATGAGATGCAACAGGTTACGATGGCACCATCGCTGATTAAAGTTCGAACTCGGTGATCTGCGACAACGACCATAGATTTCGTTTCTTTCAGATCATGGATATTTGAATCTATTCAAAAAATAAGTGTGGAGATGAGATTCTGTTGGAAGCTTGTAGCCACTTTTCCCAATTCGTTGAAATAATATTAACCAATTATTGGCTCCTTCACTTTTTTCGAAATTTCCATTTTTTTTTACTGAGACGGAAATTCACCAACCAGTGGAAAATGGTTCTTTAACTGCCATAACTGGAAGCGATTATTGCCCCGATCAGGATCTCGTCGTACCATATCGTCAGCGGAGAAATTCACCAACTTTAGCTCAAATTCCATAGCTTCGCGCATTTCGCGTTCGGCCAGAGTCCGTTCTGCTCCTGGAGAGTGTAAATTCTTTCCTAGACAATCAGTATTCCTCTACATTATTGAGTTGATTTCAGGGTGGCATAAAAAATTTTTATTTGGCTGCGTATAGCGCAGTGGTCGGAGGCGCCTTACAATACACATGGGATCGATCTCCGTGCCCAAGGTTCACCAAGCCTTCCATCCGTACAGGGTTGCAAAATTGGCACCAGACTTGTCTTGGAGGATAGTAGCGCTGGCTCGATAAATCGGTAGGTCACCGCGAGTCATTGTAAAGGCCAGATATGCATCCAATCATCTCCAACGATGTCTAACGAAGTTAAATGCATGGTCCATCCCTAAGGGACTGATCAACGCCGAAAGCTTTTCTTATCCATTTTATTTGGCCATTGTTTCGGTGCCTTCTTCGTCTTCAGAGGTAGATTACTTTGAGTCGATGGTTCACAGGTGGTCGTTGTTGCGATGTGGGTATTCGCGTATTGCACCGAGTCGTCGAATCCAGTGGAGGGAGCACAGCTCGAGTGGGAACTTCACTTCGGTGGTGTCCTTTTATAGAGGACGAATATTGATCTATCGTCATCCATTATGATCTGCTGATCTATCTCATGGTTGTAATGCTTCTTGTAGCAGTCGGCACTTTATTAGCAGGCAAATAACGTGACAATATGTTACATTCGTTCTGCGTAAAAAAGCATTGCCAAGTGAGGTCGCTTCATTCGAGCGGTGATCCCTCCATTAGAATAAACTCGATGCGACAACGAACACCCACATCGCGACAGTGACCAGCTCGGGATCATGGACTTGGATCAATGCGGCTCTAAAGAAGACGAAGATATCTAAATGCTAACCAAATAAATGCTTTTTTAAGCAATCGCGTGTCACCTCAGTAATGCAGAAAGATAGTGATCATTTATGCCGAAGCTTAGTAAGAGTCCGTTTTTAAGACATCTTTGTCAGATGTTTATTAAATAGTGTTGAATTAGAAACCATGAAGGGGTCGTGAAAATAACTAAAAACACCGAAGAACTTTTGATAAAACGGTATACGAAGAATATATTATTGGCACATTTACCGCATACAGTGACATAGAAAGTGAACGGTAGAAGAAATGTTAGTCCTAAGTCAGTCTATATCTGTTCAGTGGTTTCGTGGTTTCTGTTTCTGTGGCTGTGTGGCTAGAAGACGTTCCCAGGTGATAGCTACAGCAGCTGCCTGTACTCCAGCAATGTCACACAAGCCGACAAAGAGTTTAATATTGCCACTATGAAGCTCAGCCAGACGTAAATTTATTACATGGCTAGATGTAGTTCCGGAAGATACTAAACAGCATGACAGTAAACCTTCTATCAGTAATTACAGGGCTTGTAACTGCTTATGGTGATGACCTCGGAAAGTGAGAGTAGGTATATCAGGGAAAATATAGAGAACATTCTTTACGAATATTGGAATGTTCTCTATGTGAATTAATTATAACCTTATGTCAAACATTTTCGAAT